CAGAAATACATACACACCCACGTACATACATATATCCATAATAAACACACACACACACACACTCACACACACACACACACAGACAGATACAGACACATACACAGACACAGACACAGACACAGACACAGACACAGATACAGACACAGACACTGACACACACACACACACATATATATATATATATATATATATATTCGTGTAAACATAGACATATACTTGTACATGTTTACGTACATGTTTACGTACGTAAACATATATGTATAAATAGATATATACATATACATATACATATAAATATGGATACAAATATATATATGGCGTATGTACAGGCATATGTATATACATATACGTATACATAATCATATACAGCGACATTTATACCATGTGTTTGTATGAATTGCTCTGCTGAATCGGAATCGACGCAAAGTGCGCAAGTGAGTGTCCTGTACTGATCAATTCACACCTGTTTCTCGGTCGCACTGTCGTCTAGCGAACAATTATCTGAATCATCTGAATCTTCAATACCGAACTCTGTACTGAAACCAAGCAGCTCGTCCATGTCTGGATATCTGCTATTTGGTGTTAAAACCCGAGCTGAATACGGGGATATTCCGTATATATATAAATATAATAAATACGTGAAATTTCAGATTTGTTCACGAGTGCCTGGGTATTTATAAATACAAATATTGTTTCGGTTGTGCCACGCATTTCACAACCTCTGGGGCTACGAGTTGTACTCTTCTCCTGTACAAGCTGCTCAAGATTGTGTTCTAAGATACATGTATTCCATCATGACTCACCAGTGACTGGTGTCCCTCTAGTAGCAATACATGGATAGTATGTAGATTGCAGACGAGTGAGGAATTTACCTGAGCGGACTCTTTATGTAGGACTTAATCATATAATTACTGACCATACATACTGCACAGTCTTCTGAAAAGGCTAATAAGGAGACAATTATCCATAACAACTTGTTTATTTCATACATCGCCCATCTCCGCCAGGAGTTATTTACTACCGAAAGTTCATCACCACATTTAGAGCGTTTTAAAGTTTTTTCTCTACCGAGCGGTTATGAGATAATGATCAATGGTAATAGTCAATTGTTGTGCAACCTCCTGGAAACTAATATTCGTCTTTGAATGCCATGTCAGTTCTGAACGTGCCTTCACCTCATTCACCAGGAGGTAGATAACCGGTGTCCACTGCGCTGGGGCAAATTTCATGTGCAGGTGGGTTCCCTGTTCAGTTCTTAATGATTATTCAATACCTACTGGAGGTATTATAACATGCCTTTGGAAAAGAGTTTGGATCTTGTGTGCCACGGCTCCGAAATAGTTATTGAACCTTTTAAGTGCGCACGAGCTACCAACTTCAGAGCCAGAATACTTGAAATCACAAGACTTTGAGTGTGTAACCATAGTGTCAATATGTAATTAAGTTTGTGATGTTTACTAGATTAAGAACTTTCCAAGCTATGGAGGATTTCGCATACCATGTCGATATCCAATACTGAAGTTTGCTTTAGATGTACAGGCTTTTGTCCTTCGATATCCTTGGCCTGTGGTGACATCGGCTGCGCGAATTCCCTTACCGCAGTACAACCCTGATGGTTAAGATATGGCTCAGATGTGGTATGCATGAAGGCATCGAAACTTTCGCTACCATATGGCCATATGACCTCTGTAGGCCTGCCAATATAAGTATTGGATCTCGAATTTCTCGTGTGAGTATCAGAATCGATCGTCTGGGAATCCTCTTCATTGGTCATCGCTATGCCGGGTAACGGACAGGATCCTATCCTTGTTTCTGAGAAGGAATCTCCCATACTACTAAAAAGGGCCTGCAGTTGCCTCTCGGGCGACATACTTTCAAAAAGCTCCTGTTCTTTTACTGGTATATTGAATCCATTGGGCAAAGAACTACTTAGGACACCTCGACTTTGACTTCGCGGATTGGCATCTTTTGTATTGCCTGCTGCGTCCTTAGCGCCATATTCACTTGTGGTCATAGATATGTGTCCGTAAATACTTTTCTGGTTTGATGCCGGAGTCAAGTCTTCCGTATAATGTTGGGGATGCACCCAGCCATCCGACGTTTTCTTCGTGAGAGTCGAACCCCGTCCTGAATTGGCTCCAGCGATGCTTGCACGAGTCCGACTGTCTGAGTGTGTTCTTACGTGATCAATAGTTCGCTGGGGGGCTTTCAAAGAGCGTTTGGGGCGACTCCAAGACATGGGGAACCGTGAAGGCCTTTGAACAGCGGAGGCGTGGTATTGAATGTCAACATTACTTTCAGGCACACTTTTGGACAGGTCTGAGCGAGGATGAGTCAAAGTCGTAGTCATTGACGTATTTGGTAAATGTAAGATTTGTTCCGTAGAGGCTATCCCATTCATATAGGCCAACTGTGTCGCCAGATGTGAGCCTTTCACATCAGATGTAGCTCGAACCCATTCTCCTTTATTTGATGATGATGATATTGACCCATGGGCAGGACCGGCCACTACACTACATTGCAATTGATTCTCGATTGCAATGACCGCCATTTCATTATACCGAGTGTATGGATTTGTGCCCTTCTTGAATACATCACCAAGTGTGCGTCTGATGGCCGATAGGTTAAGGCTACCATCCGAGTGCCGCTTTTGAGTCTTTTCTACAGGAAGCAGATTAAAAAAAAATCATGGTAAGAAAATCGCGAGAAGAGCATACATACAAGCGCATGATATGGATGTCAAGTGTATAGAGGTATCACACAAGTTCCCATTGGAATATACTTTTGATTGTTCACATACCATTTGATCGAATTTTTGCTTGTGGCGAAAAGAAGCCGAAACTAGATGATCGCTTTACATGCTTTGACCGTACGTGTTGATTTCTAGAATGTTCAAATGCATAACTGCGACTACAGTATTCGCATTTGAATAGTCGTTCTTCCTCTGCATAGCTTTTTCGAACACGCTTTTTCCCGGCATCCGGCTTCTCCGGCGAGCCTGCAATTTTGACTCTATTCACTACTTGTACCTGTGACTGTGTGCAACCTGGAGAGTTTCCGTACACGATCGCCGCCGTTTGTCGTCGCACACGAAGATGTAAGTGTTGGGTTGGCTGTTTATTCATGTTTTGAAGTATTTTAAATCTCACCTATCTACCAAGATGCCAATATTTCAGTCTGAATAAACTAGCAGTGGATTCAAATTTCAATCTGTATTAGTAATTGTGATCCGTTCGTGGAAATTGCAGTAATGATTTATATTGTTGTAAAATAAGAGCAAGTCAACAATAAAAAAATATAGAAAAGATAATCACCAACAAATGTGTATTTTTATTTATTTTATATAGCCTTCTGAATATTTAGACAAGAAGAAGGACGAAGGGCCGAAGGCTATGTAGAATTTTCAGTCGGCTGTGGAAAAATAAAGGTTACATTCATTAAATAGTTAAAATAAAAGTCTAAAGTCAACTGTAAATATGTCGATTTGGCTATGGACGTAGTAAAATATGAAAGGAGTATTTATATATTGTAAGACACTATGACTGTAATAATTATGTATGTATGTACTTTAGTTTTGTTTTTTTTGTTTTTTACAAAAAAATAAAATTTTCATTGCAAATATTTATTTTGATATCAAGAGGCCAATTTCCAGAGTTCGCCAATGTGGCATCATATCATTACATTTTGTTACGATATTATTTTTTGTTTGCTTTCAAAAAAAAATACAGTCCGATGACTCCGATCTCAGTCTCATACCGTTGCGCTAAAACGCATAGATTCCGATGCGTTACCGTTCAACTATTAACGTTTGGTCCGCTGGCGACATGTTTTCCCCAGAGTCCCAGGACCCAGGCCTATACTGTGTCTGTGTTTATACGTTATGTGGGTATTACTGTATGTGTGCGCCTCTGACTCTCTGTGTCTGTGTCTGTGTCTGTGTCTGTGTCTGTGGGTATGAATGTGAGAGTACATACTTATTTTTTTTTAAATATAAAACGTGTAGAAAATATTACGTTAGCGTTAAACGTAACACAGCCTGGACTCCGACTCCGATCCTTTTTAACGCAAATGACGAATTTTTATAAACGATATAACGGTTTTTGGGGTCAAATGTGGTTGATGAAATTTTGAAAATTGCACTTGCAAGATGAACCTATTTACAACCAAATGTACCATTTAGCTCAATTTAACCGTCACTGTTGGCGGATATGTCTGGCGCCAAACTTTAAGGACACAATGGGATCATGATATGACCTCATGAACGAACCCACTCAACCCAGTCATATATGAGATGGATTATATGGTATATAAAAGTTGAGCGTAAATCGATATTTAAATAATTTATATGCGTTATATCGGATAACGTTTTTAGCAGGCTCTCGGGGCTGGGGGGCAAACCGGCAAAGGAAAACTTGGATTCTTGGAAGACTCGACACAAGATTGAAAAAAAAAAGGAACAGTCCGAACCTTCATTCTTTTGGAGTAGCATCTTGTTGAGGAGAAGAAGACATTCCGCAATCCGCCACAAATCCTCGTTACAGATATCAGAATTCAGATTTATCATGATCAACTCTATAACCTACTTGTCATGCTGCATGGCTGCATGCATCCACTCTCTTGTTGAGGTCATATTCATCTTCAGTATAGAGTACTAATATATTATTGAGAGCCACTATAGAGTATAGAAAGTAGAAACAGGAAACTGTTTCAGGACAGCTGTTAAAACTTATTATGTGCTATAGGGAGGCCAATGAAAGTTAAACGGCGCTGAGAGCCTGCGACCTGCATCCTGAGAGTCAGAAAAGAAATTCTCCACTCTCCCCTCTACTCTACTAGAGTAGACTAGTAGTAGTAGTTAAAGTAGAGGGACAATCAGCATTTGTTTATGACTTTATGTAGTAGTACAGTCAAACCTCTCTATATGACCAGTGTCCGTTTTTTGGTAAAATTGGTCATATATAGAGGTGGTCAAGTCTGGGTCAGGTTCTTACCGTCAGGTTTGGGATCTGACCTATAAACAGACCAGGAGCTATTCCAGGCGCTTTATCAGTAAAAAAAAGCTCCTGTATTATGCTCCTATGTTTCAATATTTCTACTCTGATTGTTTTCATACTCACACCGAATGATTCATGCACAGCGCGCTCGACTTCTTTGACTAAATCCTTACGATAGTTCTCTTTCCATGATTTGTCAAAGCTGTATCCCACTTTCTTGATTACGCGCACGATAATTCCTTTGTCTTTATTTGTTAAATTGACACTCTTCGTTGTTTTGGCTTTCACTTTAGATAATACAGTCTGTGTTGATGACTTTTTCTTCTTACTTGCAGTGGAGCTTATTCATCATTATACTAGATGCTCCATTCACATTAGACGATATACCCTGCGATCTGACTTGTCCTCCGGTGGCTGGCATTTATCTGTAGACAGGCAGTAACCGATTGAATTTGAACCAAACTCCTCATTAAGATGCACGCCACAAAAAGCATGCATACATGTTTTTTTTACGTTTCAGGACACCTTTTATACCTATATAAGCCCTTCTCAAATTCAGTGGGTGCAATATTCAGGTTAGTGAGTATATTTCTTATCCTGTTTCTAGTTTAGGTTGAACATTTCTGATTGGCTAAGATTCATTGCAGGCCCAAATTATAAAATTTGTAGGACAATGTTTCAAGTGTAAATTTAAAAATCATATATATATTATTTTGTCCCAAATAAAAGTTATAACTTTTATACTTCAAACAGTACAGTTAAAGGTTTAACGTATATACAGTGACCCCGTAACTTTATGAGGTTAGCTCTCCTAACTACTCTCTCTCTCTCTCTCTCTCTCTATTACAGAGTAGTAGACTGAGGAGAGAGAGTAGACTCAGTAGAGAGAGCCAGAATGAGAGATTAGAGTGAGTGAGAAAATATGTAAATTGTGTTTTTGAAATAAATATTCCTCCTTCTGTTACTGTACACTCCGTACAGAAGTGTACTTTTTTTTTAAACAAAAAAGTAAAACGAGTTTTCAGTTCGGGTTTTAATAAATAAAATGTAAATAATACAGTACATATAGTCTTATATGCATGTTGTTCACACCTTATGGCTTATAGTGTGACCGTACACATGATGACGATGATGTGTGTGACAGTCTGACAGTCGACAGACCCCAGGTCCAGCCGTCCCCACTCCTCACAAGGGGACAAGACTCCAGTCTAGACTCCAGAGTGTGACTGAGTTATAGCTGGTGCCGTGCCAGACTGTCTCACTGTCACTCTGTCAGTGCCTGAGACTGTGATGAGCTGACTCAGCTGAGTCGATAATAACACTCGACAGTCGACAGTCGACAGTCGACACTCGATAGCCGACACACTCGACAGTGTGTGTTAGCACTGATAAGCGAATGACTAATCAGGCGGCATATATTTAGTAATAAAAAAGACACATAAATTAAACCAAAAAAACAACACAAATTTTGCGGAGTGGTATGTGAGAGTAGCTGCGGGTGTTCTTGAGAGGAAGGCGCCCCGATGGGCCGATTGCAAAGCTCAATCCGAAAATGGTATACAGAATAAAAGTTGAACGGAAACGTATACTGAATTACTGATTCGTTTTCACAGGTCAAAATAGACAACGAAATTCTCAAATTTGCACTCAAATGTAAACCTAAAATCTGACGAAATGGACTATATGGCAAACAGCAAAGGTTTAAGAAATTGATGGCCTGGAAATTGCACCACTTCAAATTTCATAGGGCTATATACAAAATAAAAAGTTTAACGGAAACGTTTACTGATTCATTTTGAGAAAGTTAAAACGGGAACTGAATGAGGTTAGGCCGATTGACTATATACGGTACCGATGCCTACAAAATTATTTTAAGTGAGTCGTGACTCAAGTACTCAACGGTTATTTATTCTTGTTTTCTCTAAAATAATAACTAAATAAAAAAATGCGGGGTGTTGCAAACTACAGAGTATGTACAGACTCCACAGTCCTCAGTCCCACTCCCTACCAGAGAGTGCAGACAGCAGAGTGTGCAGACTGCCAGTCTGCCAGACTCTCTGTAGTCGGCAGAGTCAAGAGAGATGCAGAGTGCGGAGTGCAGAATGCAAACAGCGAGACACAGACTGCAGACAGAATGCAGAGTAAAGAGCTGCACTTTGTTTAATTGTTTAAAAAAAAACTCAAAAAACTCATAGGTAAATAAAAGTTGATACAACTTCTATTCGGGTCAAATCGATGTCAATATTACAGAGTGTAATATTGCACTTGATATGATAGCCAATCATAATGGACCGACCGTTGGCTGTTGAGTCGTTGACCTTCACCCTTCACCCTGAACAAGACTATCACTTGAGTGACCTGTCAAATGTACCTATCATATTTGAAAATTTTTGAGAAAGAGAAAAAAGTGGACATATATAAAATATTGGACAGACCAAGGGGGGACAGAGAAAAGGGAAAGCAAAGCACCATATTTTTTGTCAAGACGATTTTTTGAATTTGTCAGCCAGTAAGGACTCATCATAGGCGAGCGAAGTGAGCGACTTTTGATTAATTCTGTAAATACAATTTAGGAGGCTATGGAGATTGGACAAGGCGTAGTTCAATTACCCTAAACCCTTCTAGATCGAAACATTCGAAGGCTATGGTATGGTGTAACAGTATTCATGCACAGACCAAAACCAAACCCACAGGGGGATTCGACTACAATTTAACGATGGCATATTGGTACATTGG